AGAGTGGTCAGTCTGTATCGCACGCCGCGCAACACTGATGTTATCTTCAGTCTCATAGATTACTGCATGTACACTAGAGAGTGGTCAGTCTGTATCGCACGCCGCGCAACACTGATGTTATCTTCAGTCTCATGGATTACTGCATGTACACTAGAGAGTGGTCAGTCTGTATCGCACGCCGCACAACACTGATGTTATCTTCAGTCTCATAGATTACTGCATGTACACTAGAGAGTGGTCAGTCTGTATCGCACGCCGCACAACACTGATGTTATCTTCAGTCTCATAGATTACTGCATGTACACTAGAGAGTGGTCAGTCTGTATCGCACGCCGCACAACACTGATGTTATCTTCAGTCTCATAGATTACTGCATGTACACTAGAGAGTGGTCAGTCTGTATCGCACGCCGCACAACACTGATGTTATCTTCAGTCTCATAGATTACTGCATGTACACTAGAGAGTGGTCAGTCTGTATCGCACGCCGCTCAACACTGATGTTATCTTCAGTCTCATAGATTACTGCATGTACACTAGAGAGTGGTCAGTCTCTATCGCACGCCGCACAACACTGATGTTATCTTCAGTCTCATAGATTACTGCATGTACACTAGAGAGTGGTCAGTCTGTATCGCACGCCGCGCAACACTGATGTTATCTTCAGTCTCATAGATTACTGCATGTACACTAGAGAGTGGTCAGTCTGTATCGCACGCCGCGCAACACTGATGTTATCTTCAGTCTCATAGATTACTGCATGTACACTAGAGAGTGGTCAGTCTGTATCGCACGCCGCACAACACTGATGTTATCTTCAGTCTCATAGATTACTGCATGTACACTAGAGAGTGGTCAGTCTGTATCGCACGCCGCACAACACTGATGTTATCTTCAGTCTCATAGATTACTGCATGTACACTAGAGAGTGGTCAGTCTGTATCGCACGCCGCGCAACACTGATGTTATCTTCAGTCTCATAGATTACTGCATGTACACTAGAGAGTGGTCAGTCTGTATCGCACGCCGCACAACACTGATGTTATCTTCAGTCTCATAGATTACTGCATGTACACTAGAGAGTGGTCAGTCTGTATCGCACGCCGCGCAACACTGATGTTATCCTCAGTCTCATAGATTACTGCATGTACACTAGAGAGTGGTCAGTCTGTATCGCACGCCGCGCAACACTGATGTTATCTTCAGTCTCATAGATTACTGCATGTACACTAGAGAGTGGTCAGTCTGTATCGCACGCCGCGCAACACTGATGTTATCTTCAGTCTCATAGATTACTGCATGTACACTAGAGAGTGGTCAGTCTGTATCGCACGCCGCGCAACACTGATGTTATCTTCAGTCTCATAGATTACTGCATGTACACTAGAGAGTGGTCAGTCTGTATCGCACGCCGCACAACACTGATGTTATCTTCAGTCTCATAGATTACTGCATGTACACTAGAGAGTGGTCAGTCTGTATCGCACGCCGCTCAACACTGATGTTATCTTCAGTCTCATAGATTACTGCATGTACACTAGAGAGTGGTCAGTCCGTATCGCACGCCGCACAACACTGATGTTATCTTCAGTCTCATAGATTACTGCATGTACACTAGAGAGTGGTCAGTCTGTATCGCACGCCGCGCAACACTGGTGTTATCTTCAGTCGTTGCCGTAGGAGGCCGTCCCTCGCGCAGATCATCGGTGAGATTAGTGCGACCACGTTTAAATTCATTAAACCAGTTGTAAACAGTGGCACGAGATGGGGCATCATCGGGAAAGGTCAATCGAAGTCTATCATAACTTTCTTATTGACTTAAATGACATCGAAAGTCATTAAAACATCATTGTACTAAAATCCTCTCGCGTTAAATCATGCTAACGTGATACAATTTTCAATTTGCCGCCAAATCGTAAACAAATGACAAATTAACAAAATACATAGGTACATACACAGTAATGTTGGCTGTGTTCCATTTTCAAAATTTTAACTTATTTTTTACTAGGGGAAGTCCGCTAAGCCCGGACGGCTCCTAAAGCCGGACAGAATTTGAATCAGTACGAAAAAGCGCGCCAATTTGTTGCTTGAGTCGTGGTTAGAAAGCGTTTCCCAAGTGAAATGTGGGGGGAGCGTGTCAATAGTTAGTGGTGACTCGTTCGGCGTGGAGCGTGTAGCAAATTTTAAGGTTAGTAAAAATTTTGTTCGAAGTAATTTTTTGGGTTCTGTAAACAGTATTTAAAGTATGGGATGATAATCATTGTTATTAATTATTATCGATATTGTAATCTGATATAACCCAGGTGTTTTTTTTAAGATTCATAACACATAATGTGAATGAGAATTTTTCTTGTATGTACCTAAGGGTCCCTAAGTTCGGACACTCAAAGTCCCCTAATACCGGACAGTTTTACAGTACCTAAGTTTATTTTTGTTGTAGTTATTATTTTCGTGTTTTGTTTTTCAGATTCAACATGGATAAACCCAAACCGAGTTGTGGGAATACACCCAAACATGAAATATTGCAAAAAGCTCAGTTAGCTACATTTGTGATTTTTGCAGGTTGTATAATTAAAGTTTTGTAATTTTGAAGAAACCGTTCCTAATTATGACCAAAAGTTAATTACAATTAAGAATAGTTTTCTTTATAAACAGCTGATTTGATCAATTTTAATAGATATTCTTATGAATTGTTTGTTAAAATAATGTTTAGGTTTAAAAATGAACGAAAAGTTGGCTGTCCGTCATTAGGGGACCTTTTTAAAAACGTCCTTTTTTCTATGTTAAATATTCCTTAGTACCTACTACATTTAAAGTAAGATTTGAGGCTGTTGATATATGTGTTGATTAAGTATATAGTTGTGAACTTATTAAAATGAAATAAACAAATGAGACTATTATACGTTCTTTTTTATTTTTATTGTTCCTTAAGTGTCCGGTTCTCGGGGACCTCCCCCTATTCTTAAAACTTTCAGTTTCGCCCTCTTAACACATTCCTGTCCACCTGTCATAAGCCTTTTTCAAGTCCATGAACGCACAAAAAACTTTTTGGTTTTTGGCCAAAATCTTCACCGCGATCATACACATGGAAAAGACTTGATCGTTACACCCCATTCCCTTTCTAAATCCAGCTTGCACATCCCAAATTTTTCCATCAGTTTCTTTCATAACTCTTTCAATTAACACCTTAGCATACAGTTTATCCACAATGCTAAACAAGCTGATACCACGTTAGTTTTTACAATCATGCTGTGACCCTTTTCCCTTATATGAATATAACGGCTTTACACCAGTCTTCCGGTACCTGCTTCAGTATCCAACATAAATTAAACAAGGTGTACAGCGGACCTGCTGCACCCTTAGCATCTCGAGTGATACTCTATCACATCCGGCTGCCTTACCTGCTATTTATTTTCATCTTCACTTATCTCCCTACCTCTACACTTCTTTTGGAATTTCTAGTTCATTTAATTCAGCCGACTCTTCACTCATAAACACACTTTCTAGGTATTCCTTCCATTCCATTAAACTCGAAACTTCGTCATTTAGCAAACAGCCATTCTCATCGTATAGCATTCATTCTACTGTTTAGAATTTCCCCTGCCAGTTCTTAGGAGTTTCCAGAACATTTTAATATTTGCTTGGAAGTTATCAGATATCCTTCTATCTCTATCATCTCTCTTATTTAGACTTTCAATCTCATCATTCATACCGCCAGAAACAGCTTTGGTTGCTAGTAAATCTAGCCATGCTCTCATCTTTGCTTCAACTTCCATCCTCCTCATCATAGCCACGCTGCACCTATATTATGGTTATAGCACGCATGTTTCAGCCCGACCTGGGAAGGACTACAAGCGTGTTCTGGTGCGTGAATATCAGACTGCGTGACACCACTCAGGGAAAACCAGCGTTGCTGCCGTTACATACTGTCAGTGCTGAGAACCGGTTACCCTTTTTACTGTAAACAAGGTATTCCATCTTTGTCCTTAGTGGTGACAATGCATCTGTAGTCGTACTGTGTGCTCGTCTGTCGGAAAGTGTACACTCTTGGAAACACTTTTCGCATGGTGACCACATTTGTAGCCAAATTAGCGATCACGGTATTATCCAGATTCGATAATGTTTTGTATTTTTTTATTTAATAAAAACTGATTGTTTGTAAAATAAAACACATATTTTTAATCTATTAATATAATAAATAAATATTTAACACTTAAGTAATTAAATGGTTAAGTATAAACCTCAACCGGGTTAGACAGTTGTGCGACTGCGATTTGCTACGCAATGCGATGCCGCACTCGTTTGCTCTAACGTTTTTCTCTTACTTCTCAAAAATTACATCGACATAACAACTATTAAAATTGAATATAGAAAATGACAAACATGGCTTTCTAGTACACACTCGTCATTTGTAAAATAATTGCAAATTTAACAAAAATATAAAAAACGCAGTATTAATGAAATATATTGAAACTGAAAAAACTGAAGATAAATAACAGACAAAGAAATCCTAATTACTGAAACAACACCTATTGACAGATTAACATAATATAGTTTTGTATTTTTAACATTAAGACCAAGGGAAGCTTGATTTGAAGGTGGCCAGTTGGTTACAATACATATATTTCACACATTCAACAACCAATAAATTACACAACATATGATGGTGGTATGTATGTTCTACGTTACAAAGTTTAATGGTCCATAATTCACGACGAAAACACATGCACTAAATGAGATTTTCCACAGACTATGTACACTTTACCAGAACGAGAAATACTTCAAAGGTTTCAATGACGATAATAGTGATACAAATGCAATGGACACTTAATACTCACTGTGCTCATAAGTTTACAAAAATATGGATACACTGGTTTTAAAAGCGCTCATCAAAAAAGTTTGTAATTGGACGACAACGTTAGAGATTACATAATTGTACTACGAGAACATAATGAACAAATCCAACCAGAGGCAACATAGAACTTGAGTGAACTTTAGAGTTTAGGCGTTGAGATCGAGGTCTGCGAAGAGGTCGCCGCGCGTGGCCACAGTAATCGCGTAGTGCGAGTTGAGTTGCTGCAGCAGCTCGCGCTCGTCCAGCATTTCCAGCGCTTCAACGCGCGCGCGGTCGTCTTCAGGCAGCGCGCGCCACACCGTGTCCATGTCCCAGCTGCGCACCGTTTCAAACCCAGCGCCCAGCAGTCGCTGCACCTGCGCTTGCGGGTCGCGACAGTACCGCTCGCCCGCCAGTGCGCACCCCCGCACGCTCAGGTTGCGCAGCATCACCTCGCCGAACTTGTCGGCCAGGTTGCACTGCTCGTACAGCAACAGCACGCAGCGCGGGAACGTCGCGGCCAGGTGCTCCAGCAGCGCTTGCGCCGCGTCGGGCTGCATGTACACCAGCACGCACTCGGCCAGCAGCAGCGTGGGCGCGTCGCGAGCCGCCCCGCCCGCCTCCAGCTTGCGCCGCACCTCTCCCAGGCAGCACAGGTCGCAGCCCAGCAGGTGGTACCCGTCCGAGTGCAGGTCCCCCGACCTGATCACCACCTCCCCATCTGCACACATACAGCCCAGCAATGTTAGCTTTTTTATAGAATAAAGGTAACAAGTGAGCACACAGTCCACCTGATGGTAAGTGGATGCTGCGACCCATAAATAACTATATCTACCCTCGATTAAGAATCAAAATGCAGATGCATTGTCACCCCTCAGAACTAAGATGTAATGCCATCTTTCCAGTAAGAAGGTTCTCCAGTTTTCTAGTAGCAATGAGCTATTTTATGCTGGTATTCTGTGAAAGGGTGGTCCTACCTCGGTCATTCATGCTACAACCAATATATCGCTGCGGCAAACTACAAACCAATTAAACTTATTACGAAGAATTATTCATAAATAAATAAAAAACGGAAATAACGGTTAATGATCCATATTTAAACTCAGCCCTTATTCAACAGCAACAAAAAGTTCTTTATTCAATATAGATTATAAATAATACTAATTAATAGTCACTTTTTTAATTTACCACTGATTCGGACAAAAAACCTCTGTTCTGGAAAGAACCAGCAAGAAACCCGGCGGGACTTTTTTTTAAAGATAACAGAATACAATCATGTATGTTACGATTAACAACACAAAACAAATTGGAAAAATTGCTTATAGCGATCACCCTTCCCAGGAGTTATTATCATAACTTCCTTAATATTATAATGACCCTTTTTATACAAACTTAATTTAATAAAGTTTTCGAACTTTGTGTAGGTCGAATTTTGTTGTAAAAGCGTATACATCGCCCCAAGAATGAATAACTGACTCGGAGGAATGGAGTAACTGGTATTACTAGCTTGTGCCTGTTCCTAGTATTTACAAAATATTACTTATTTTTGTAAAACTACTGCTATTTTTGTTTATGTACATTACATTTTTTATAAATGTGTTGAGAGGCCAAAGTTAATATATTTATTTCCTTAAATTTTTGTCTGAGCGATTCTTTAGGCTTTAAATCATATATTGCTCTAATGGCCTCTTCTGTAAAATAAATATAATTTCAGTGTCAGTTATGTGTCCCCGTAACGAAACACCATACAACATTATGCTATGGACATAGCTGAAGTAAACTAGCCTAGCTGTTTCAACATTGGTAAGAGTTCTAATTTGAAGCTTTGCGACTAGTGTGATTACAAGAAAAATGGTGGTATCCTATATGGACCCATTCGTGCTACAACCATAATATAGCTGCAACGTGGCTCTACCACGTATAAAATTACGTTCTGTTATTTAAATATGAAATAATTAATTTAAGAGCAACACTTCTTACACCGTAGTGTTGAAGATTCCTGATTAATGTTTTATGGTGAACACAATCAAATGCTAGGTCACAGAATATACCCAAAGCATCCTGTGAATTATCCCATGCATCGAAGATATTATATTTAATTAGTTCAGCATCAGCATCAGTTGTCGAGCGACTCCTTGTGAAACCGAATAGACTTCTCCGAATAGATCAAAAATATTTTTTTCAAAATTTTTACCAAGTGTTAGTAGTATAGAAATAGGTCTAAAATCAGCGGGGTCCAATCTACTACCAGATTTAAATAAGGGATATAATACTTTACTATGCTTCATTAAATCAGGAAACACACCAGATTCGATACTAGTATTAAAAATAATACATAGTTGCGGTGCGATTGTATCTATTATAAACGCAATAACTAACGGAAATCGCCCACAGATCTAATTGATCTGTGGTTTTTTTAATATCAATAGTTAAAAATATTTTACAATATCTTTTGATGATATTTCATCAAATGTTTTTATACGTGGTAGAGCCATCAGTGATGGATTTACGCCTAGGCCCGGGCCTCACGGGCGGCATAATTTGAAGAGCAGCAAAATTTTTGAAATGCCAAATTTCAAAAATTGGTTCAAATTAGTTTTTATAAAAAAAAATCTATAGAATATATTATAATTCAATTCATTAATTTACTTCTCAATCTGCATGGGTAAGATGTTAATTTTTTAATAGATCAATTATAGTCTTTATAGAGTTCTTTACTTTCTGTTCCTTTAGTGAAATTAATCTCACATGCATGTAAGCGTACATGTAAGCGTTTTGAAATTACTAAATTCGAATAACTTCTCAATTTGTTTTTAGTGTGAAATAAAAATACCTATAATAATAAAAATATCATTTTGATATTTATTAAAGTGTGACATTTTTTGTTTATAAAAATAATTTTTTATGAAAAATATAATCCCGTCTTTTTCCATGTTCAATTTTTTGTATCATCAAAAAAATTTGTAAAAAAACTGAAATTTTTATCTAAAATAAAAAAATCTGAAAATTCAAGAGCAAGAATTTTTTTAAATTAAAGTATGTGAGCTGATATATTAAAGCGGTCGACTTATGGTAGGTATAAGTTACATTTATTATAAATATGAAAAAAATTAAGAATTTTATTTATTATCCGAGTGTGAGACTTTTAAGCAGTTCGGTTGAGTGTATTTCACATGTTTACAGGAAACAAGAGCGCTACGCTTGACAGGTACTGACGCGTTTGACTATGTTTTGTTTAATAGTTCCTCTACACGATGGGCCATCGCGATGGCCCACAATAATGGGGCAGCGTATGGAGTGAGTAGTTGTGTCGGATGGCTTATGGCTCTTGGTGATGGCTACGGTGTCGGTTTTTCCGCTGCACATCAAAGATATTGGGCCAGCAATGGCGGTACGCATCTACACGTGGCCCATTCCACAGTTTTGCACGCTTGACGGTTGAGTGTGGTGTACGTTCGTGCTTTGTTTATTAGCTAACGAATTAAAAATGACGAATGTGTGGCCTCGTAACGAAGTTATAATAACTACTCTACACGATGGGCCAGCGCCGGCCCAGTGAGATGGCCATGGGATGGTTGAAACGCAACTACACGATGGCGACATTCAGTTGTGATCGAAACGTTTTTCAAGATGGACGTGGAAGAATTAGCCGCTGTGACAATATATCTATACAACACGTACCATTATTTTCTTAATGTGCACAAGAATAGTGTTATCGTCGGACTCTATTCATATAGCAATCATGGTTATACACGATGGGTATACTTATCTTGTTATGATTTCTAATATTTTTTTTAAATATATATAACGTTAGTCGGGATAAACATTAAATAAATACCAGTTGTTTAAATACATTTTTTTTTCTAGCCGGAATTAGAAAAGAATTCAAAACAAGATGTCGAAGTAGTACAGTCACACCCTTCTCTATCACAGGATACGAACAAGACGCCGTCAAATTTTCCTACATCACAAGATACTGAAGAAATCCAGTCAACAATTGATATTTTAAAATTTAATACTGATCCCTTTTTTGCAATTTGAATCAAGAAACACGGGATTTCATAACTATAAACGGTATACCACGAAATAATAATACGGACTTTTAAAATTCCAGAAATGTATATAGTCATAAATCGAGGTATTGTTCCAAAAGTTTATTTCAACACACTTTAAAAAACGGAGAGATTCAACGCCGTGAGTGGTCAATTTATTCAGAAATTAAAGGGTCTGTATTTTGTGTTCCTTATCTATTATTTGGTAGAAGTGGTGAAATTAATGCTTTTACTGGAGAAGGATTTCATGACTGAAAAAACTTAAAAGCATGTATCAAAGCTCATGAAAAATTTGATTTTCACAAAACTAACGGTATTCATTTTAAAGCTCGAGTAGAAGTTCACGGGCGTGTTGATCAACGTCTTATAAAACAGCTTGATGAGGAAATAACGTATTGGAAAAAAATTATACCAAGTAATTTATTTATTTAATTTGCAATTATTAAATCACTAGCAATGAGAGGGTTGTCATTTAGAGGAAATTCAGAACAAATAGGAGATGCCCATGATGGGAAGTTTTTAGGAACAGTAGAGCTTCTTGCTGAATTTGATTTTTTTACCTGAACATTTAAAATTGTATTTGCATCCTTGTAGTGGGAATACGTCATATTTGTCTAGAAAAATCTATGAAGGAATTATATTGTTGATTCAGAATAAATTACTACAACAAATTTCCAGTGAAGTGCAATGTGCTAAGTATTTTGGTATAATTGTAGATTCTACGCCTGATATTGCACATGTCGATCGGCTTACTGTAATTATCAGATATGTACGTGATAACAGTGAAATTGTTGAAAGGTTTCTAGAATTTCTACCAAGTATCTGCCTTAAAGCTAAGACATTGAGGACACTTTGTTAAAATTTCTAGAAATCAATGGTTTGGACATAATGAACTGTCGTGGTCAATCTTATGATAATGCAAGCAATATGTCAGGTATATATCTGAATATACCTGGCCTGAGCCTTCAGTAGCGAATCAAAACAATTAATCCTTTAGCAGATTACGTTCCTTGTGCCACCCATTCATAAAATTTGGTAGGATCATGTGCAGTTGAATCGGTAATAGGAGCAGTCGACTTCTTTTTTACTTTGCAAGAACAATACAATTTCTATACTATATCTACACATTGTTGGGAGATCTTGGTGTAGCGTACAAATTAAAGAGTTAAGAGTAATTCTCAAACTCGTTGGTCTGCTCGACATGATGCATGTTACGCATTAGAAAAAGAGTGGTCTGCAATAATTGCCGAAAGCAGACATGAGAAACCGACTACACGATCTGAATCTAGGGGATTGCAGCGAAAATTACAGCATTTAGAAATTGCAATCCTAGTCATTGTTTGGAATGTAATTTCAGATCGTTTTAACGCTGCTAGTAAGAAGCTTAAAGAATCTCAAGCGTTCGTTCCATCCGTTGTTCAGATCTATAGATCTCTGGCTCTATTTCTTCAAGACATGAGAGGCAGACAAATTTCTGAATATGAAGAAAAAGCCAAAGCACTATCTGGAGTTCACGATTATTATTGTTATGATACACGTCGCAAAAAAATTTGAAGAATTCAGCCAGATGAGTCAAGGGTAAATGAAAGAACACCTTCTTCTGGACAAGAAAATTTTCTTACAAATGTTTATAACTTATTAAACTGGACTAGATTTAGTCGCCCCCAATCCTAGACTTTGTTCAGTAAAGACTCGACTTCAGATACATGTTTGTCCCGGTACCCAGAGAAGTTTTCCCGAGAAATATTGGCACGGCCGGTGTATAGAGCATCACCAGTGCTGTCATCTGCATAGCAATGAATGTTGCAGGTTTGCAACATATCATTGATATGCAGAAGAAAAAGCGTTGGTGATAGCACGCAGCCTTGTGGAACACCAGCATTAATAAGCTTGTAATCGGAGCTTGCACCGTCTACAATGACCTTGATGCTCCGATCTGCAAGAAAGCTGGTGATCCAATTGCACAATTTCTCGGGAAGACCATAAGAAGGAAGCTTCCTAAGAAGCGCTTTGTGCCAAACCCGATCGAAGGCCTTCGCTATGTCCAAACTAACGGCCAACACCTTCCCCTTGGACTCTACTGCCTTCGCCCATTTATGAGTTGTTGTAGTTGTAGTTGAGGTAACCTAGAAGATCACCAGCCGAGCGACCGGGACGGAAACTGTAAATCAGCTGGTGATCCTCAAGGTCTCTTCATTCATTCTCAAGGTGAGTCTTCAAGATGTTTCTCCTAATGTGGGCATTGCTCTCCATATTTTTTCAGGAGAAATATCTTTTTCAACTCTAAATAGGGAACTCTACTCTAAATAGAAACCTATTTACGTGTAAGCATTGGCCAAGACAGACTTAATGTTCTTGCATTACTCTCTTTTGAAGCTCAACTAGTCCAAGAAATCAATTGACACGATGTAATCGACATTTTTGCACAGACCACAGACAGAAAAAAGAAATTTCAAATTGGTTAATATTAAAAAAATATTTATTATTTATCTGTTTAAAAATGATAACTTTTTTATCTGTCATGTTTATTAGTCTTATTTAAAAAAATATATTTCAATATATAAGGTTATTTTAAAATAAAAATATTGGATCAAATCAATTTATCATAAAGGACGCACATCGAAAGGGGCCTAGGGCAGCAGCAAGCCTAAATACGTGGCCCATGCTGCAGTTATATTAGTAGTATAGTTGTAGCATGAATGCGTCGGCTCGACCGGGGAAGAACCACGCTCTCACAGAATACTAGCGTAAAATAGTAGCTTAATGCTGCTGTGTTTCGTATGGTGAGTGTAGGGAACCGGAGACCTTTTTACTGGAAACGAGGCATTTCATCTTAATTCTCATGGGTGACAATGCATCTGGATTTTGATTTGTTATCGAGGGTAGATGTAGATGTCTATGGGCCGCAGCAATTACTTATCATCAGGTGCACTGTGTTCTAGTTTGTCACCCTATCCTATAAAAAAAAATTAAAATTCTTTGTACACGCATTTACATATTGTGTAAGTAATGATCCGGCAACGGCAGGAGAAGAATTCTGTGAATTAGTGGTTAAGATTAGAATATCAGGAAATTGTTTCTCAAAAACCATTGCGACAACCTGATCTGATTTAGTTAATTTGTTTTTAAAACTTAACTGGTAGTTTGAATTGCGAGTTGACCCTCCCAGTTTCACTATTAATTATACTCTATGTCATTTTAATTTTATAAGTCTTTATTTTGTTACTCAAATACAGAATTGGCTATGGAGCACACTCTTAAATATTTTTGATTTTTTTTTACATATTCCCTAAATTTGATGCTGGGATTATATGACCTTTCATTGTAAAGTTCATATAATCTTTGTCTACTCTTATGGACTCCTACTTTATATATAATATGTTATCCTTTACTTTTTATGTCCCATTATCCCTTCGTATGACGGGGTCATTTTAATCAATATGGCGCACCTGTTGAGCACTTCTCGAAGTACTTCCAGACTATTTCCTGCTGTTTATTAAAATGACTATTTCCAAGACATTTTGTATAAAAGGTATATTAAAATCATATATCAATGGAAACTTTATTAAATAAGCTTTATAATATCAGATTGTGTATAACTTGAATACAAATGTTTTTTCCCCGATTTTCTGCAAAGGTGTAATAATTATAAATTAAAGCCTTTATTCCAAGTACTATTTTTTTTACTTGTACGTCAAAGCATATTTAATTATAAAAAATTTTTTTTCATAAATTTTTTGTTTACGAAAAGGTTGAGAAAGGCCTCACTTAGCTCTACTCGACATCGGGACAAAAAATAAGAAGGTTCACAAAAAAAACACATTATTAAATCAAATCTAGACAAAATCAAACATACAGATATATATGTATGTTATATATATCATACATATGTTACAAATAGTTTGCTATCACTTGACGCCATATTATGGCGTTTGACAGATGCGTATATTATTTGAGATGCCAGAATATGGCATTTAGACAGGTGAGTGGTTATGGATATCCTCAATTTCAGCTTGCACATATAGCTTAACATCATCAGCTTACAAATGAAAATATGAGCAATCAGAGGTAATAAAGTTTAAAGTAAAATCCCTAACAGTGAGAAATTAAATAAAATGTAAGGAAATACATTAATTACAAAAACAATTATACTCTTTTTTATTACTAACCATCTTATAAGATGGAATCGAAATAAAACAATCAGTCTTCAGTACATAGTTAGTAATTATAGCAAAGAAAATAAATAAATAAAAAGGACTAAGGGTTTTATTGTCATTAGTAATAAATAATCATAAATGAGTATATATAATATATGCAAAATTTTCAAATGAAATAGACTATATAGAAGACTGATTTTATATTTTTTATAATATTTACATAATTTATTCTTAGAAGTCAGAGGATGCCTGTGCATTGCAGTGACATGTATATAGGCAGCAACTTACAAAAATGAAGGGTGAAAAGGGAAGGAGATCTACTGGTTTCTTACCTTCATTGCAAATTTTCTCCAGTAATTGTTTATTCCTTTTGATGATGTGACATTTCTTTGCAGTAACTGAAGGAAAATCTAACTCAATAAAATTTCCAACTGCTTGTGTTGTGTCTTTTAACCTCCAGTACAATGTATCATAACCACATCCTAAGTTAATGATTTGGCACTTAGTACCACAGCGCTGAAAGCCAGAAAGCATGTTTGAAAAAATATTACACGACATGGTTTAAACATAATAATTTATCGCAAATCATAACTTTTAAAGGCTTATTACCTCTAAGAATTGGTGGATAAACATTTCCATTGCCTTTACTCTAGCGTAATAACCGCGATTAATTTCGGGAGCCTTTCTATCAACGTGCTTGGCAAAATACACGATGTAATCATCTTTCCAGTAACCCAGTTCGACTGCGCTCCTCTTACATTCTGTAGCATCAGTGTTTGTGGCAATGATGGCATCATCTTCTCCGGTCCATGATATTATATTATTCATGATGGCGATTTAACCTTGGTGCCTTACACAAATCAATATTAGCAAACCATTACGTAGCACACAAAGGTTGACCAAGAATTACAAAGTAAGTTCTAAATGCAATCGTTTTTATAAGATTTATGTTATAGGCTTGAATCAAAATATTTTCTTCAGAATGGAGTTCATCTTCTGAAATAACATGACATTGACAGTTTATTTGGATTTGACAATTGACAATGCACTGACATGTGACAGTTACTGAGGTAAAGAGTATATAATCACTAGAGAGGTACCAAAGAGTATAAATATAATTACTACGTTTTATGTATACTATAATATTCGGAACCTTAAGGGCATATTAATATTATACAACACTTAATTCAGGAAGTTAATAAGCGAAGTTCCTAATTACACCAGTACTATATTTAGGATCCTTACTCGGTTCGGAAGCAATCTTTTACTTGTATGTTCGAGCAGTGAGTTTTCCCGCGAAAAATCGTTTCAATTCTCTTAAAATATGAGATATGACTTATTCCATTCAGAATATTATTCTCGCTCTGCTGAGTACGCCAAGCTGTTCAGAGGTCAATTTGGCCTTCCCTTCCAAGTGACCACGAAACTGCACATTATTCCACATGTTGACGTCGAGGATTCCGATGCTACCTTGAAACTGAGGAGATACGATGAAGGGGTTCCTTTTTGTGGTAAACGCATATACTTGTGTCTTCTGGGGATTGAACTAGACTATATTTAGTCGTTCCCAATCCGAAACTTTGACCCGACTTCAGGCACAAGTTTGCCCCGGTAATCGGCGACGTTTTCCCGAGAAATATTGGCACGGCTAGTGTATAACGCATCACCAGTTCTGTCGTCTGCATACCAATGAATGTTACCAGTTTGCAACATAACATTGTATGCGATTTAAACGAAACGACCGTACTGCCAGAGAATTGGTTTATTACTGACTCATTATTTCGAAGTACCTGTGCGCATACACATCATCGCCTTCCGCATTAATTTGAGAACCTAATAACAACAAAAAAGTTCATTTATAATTTTAAAATTTTTTTGGTCTTAGATTATAACGGCAGCGAGGAATGCTTTGTTCGGTATCGTTATATATCAGGGAAGGACCGAGCATAGATGCAACAGAAACGGACTCTGGTTGTTCCTCGCCATCCTGTTGATCGGTAATCCCATCCACGGAGATACTCTGCTGATCTGCTATCACCGCCTCTCCTCTATCCGCATCTGGCATTAAAGTTGGCTCACAAGCTTCCCGTGAATATCTCTCGGCATTAGAATGCGTATTTAGTGTCGTCTGGCGAAGCGGTTTTTTTATTATCTGGCATACAAACGGGGCAAGTAGCAGGGATACTGTGGTTGAAACACTGATGCACAACATACATCATTCGCAGTTTCAGGTGTCTTGTCTCCTTCTGTATATCGCAGCAGTTGGTCTACGTGTCGCTTGCAAAGACCTTGACCAACAATTAAAACCGTATAAATTCTCTTACCTTCTCTACTTACAATTGTAGCTTTGGACCAAAATGGTTTACGGGACATATAACAACGCATAAATACCTTTTCACCAATATTAAATCGCCTTACATTATTATAACAAGATGTTTGCATGTCTGTATTCGTAGGCGGTAAAATTAAATTTAATCGCGTTAGCGATTCACGACCGAACATAAATTTTGAGAGTGTTTCACCGGTGCTGTTTCACTGCTGCGATATTCGAATAAATATCTTAACAAAAATTCATTTATTCGTTCATCGCTTACTTTTAAATTATAACTTCAGATCTATTTAAGCATTTTTTTACAAGTGCGTTATAAGTGCGTACGGAATTTTCGGCTTGGCCAAATTTTTGGCTTTACTACAGAGGTGATAAATAGAAGAAGTTCGTGAGATCGTTATATTTTACCTTTGTACAGAAATAACCTAAAGAAGTAATTTAGTGAGCGTTATAAACACAAATCCTGATATTACATTTATAATTCAATGTTACGGTAGGAAAATGTTGCAAAAAAATTTTCGGACATAATTGAAATACCCAATCCGGAGTCTACTTCCACACAGAAATTTTTATTACTAATACTCACTACTACAGTAATGGGAGCGAAAGTCTCATACCTCATATTATAAAAATGGCACTCCATGCAGTCCTCACAGTCTCCTGATTCTGTTTCCTCCGCAACGGTTTTAATGTTGTGAACGCGAACTTTACACATTTTTTTCAAATGACCTATAAACCGCATATATATATATATATATATATATATATATGCGGTGTTAAAGGTCATTTGAAAAAATTGTGTAAAGTTCCTATAGCAGCACTTTTCTGCAATATGTGTTTTTAAACCACATACAGCGCAACCTCTTCTTTAAGCCCGTTGCGAGATACACTCGCTCTGCCACTGCCACCGCTTCCACTATCATCGGTGGCACGTACATGCATGCTCAACACTGCTTTTTCAATGGCTCCCGTCACTCCGACGACTAGTTTCGCCAGCTGAGTAATATATCTGCTCATCCTAGATGCTAATACCCGTTTCACTGCTTACTAGAGCCTTGGCCTCTCACGTATAAGTTGCCTGTTCAGCTATTTCCAAAGCCTTTGCAAAAGATAGACTTAATATATCTTGCTCAAATAGCCTATCCCTCTCGAGACCAGTCCCCAAGCCTAGCACAAAACGATCCAATAGAACCGTTTCTAAGGCGGTACCAAAGTTGCAATAACTTGCAATGCCTCGTAGTCGCACCGCCCATTCTACAATGGGTTTTCTTGTCGCTTCGTAGAATATCGCTTTGTCTACGAAAGAACTGTGTTTCGGATCAAAATGCTTATCAAGTAACACGACCAATTCTCCGTAACTTAGCGATGTTATCTCGCGCGGGTACGCAAGGTACGTACGTACGAGTCGATAGGTTTCATCCGAGAAGTTTGCATAGCAAACTTAGTATTGCACTTTTATTGTCTTCACTGATGATATTGACTTTGAAAATTGCATCAATTTTCTTTAATAAATCGACCACTCATTATATTTATAGTCAAAGTTCGGTACATTTCCGATGTAAGCCATTTTCTTTTTTTCTTTTGGGTAGGTACTTGTACACACCTCGTTGCCAAATGTTGTGTATGCGATTTAAATGAAAATACCGTACTGCCAGAGAATTGGTTTATTACTGACTCATTATTTCGAAGTACCTGTGCGCATATACATCACATTGATATGAAGAAGAAACACCGTTAGTGATAGCATACAGCCTTGTGGAACACCAGCGTCAATTAGCTTGTAATCGGAACATGCATCGTCTGCTACGACCTTAATCAGCAAGGAAACTGGTGATCCAATTGCACAATTTCTTGGGAAGCCCACAGTGGCGAAGCTAGGGCTCCAAACTAGGGCAAGCCCAAGATATGGTTTTGTTGTTTTTAGCAGTTTAATAAAAAATACACCAATCTTGAGCTGTCTCCACTCTTTAGTTTCATATTCAGTGCTGTCAAGGACGTGTTTAACAAAGCACACAGAAAGCATACTACCGCTAGATAGATTGTATGACATATGCAATTGCACACCTTCGGTGGTTTTGAAAAGACCTGTTTGGGTTTGCTTGAGATATTTACAAACAATACAATACATGAACAAAAGAAAAGCATGAACAAAGTACAAACAAACTATGTACAAAGTTAAAAAAGGACGCCTGGCAGATGTGAAACCTCGAAATTATTTTGTTTAAGTTATATGCATAAAAGAACAGGTTACGACAGGAATTAGATAGTTATAATGAGAAGATAAAGCTTTGCTAATTTTTTACCATAAAATAATGACTATTTATTATAATTATAATTATTCATTTTCAATTCATAATAAACCGTACAAAATGATATTTTTAAACTCATATATCACTATAAATTAGCCGATAGCGTATTTGTGCCATCTAGCGTAATCTTTAGGTACCATCGTGAGAATCAACCAATATTCGTTCAAAAAAATGACTTTACGTACAGAATTAAGTAGATGGCGCCATTAAAATTTTATATACTGAAAAGTAGACAGAGAAACCTAACTGGAAATAACTAAAGGGAGTACTATTATTTAAAAACCTCAATACATTCTTCTGTATTCTTTTGATTTATTTAATTAAAATTTGGGCTTCACGTTAAAAAAAAGATTGTAATACTTATTTCCTCTAAAATTAAACCTAGGTCTCATACGTTATGCTGCTGTTCAAATTGATATTTTTAATTCGTATGGTAATATTAATATTGAGTTATTAAACCTTTAAATACGCCTAACTTAATTAAACTTTAATACTAAAGAGAGAGAGTGTACCTATATTTAAAGTATGAAGAAATGTTTATTGAATATTAAATTTCATTTTTAAAGATTTTTACCTTTTCTTCGCCGATTAGCACTTCAACACACTTATATTCATCACAATGAACACTATTATCCTCCAATTTTCACTGAAAATCTTCGAAAAAGCATAAATTTTTAATAAACAAAACAAAAACAAACATAAACATTGAAATGTGAAGTGAACTTGCATACGAGGGGCCCGCAACCACTTCGCTAGTCGCTAACGCACTCCTAAACAACTTCATGGCAAAGCCAGGCTTGTTGGCTGAATAGTAATTGCTATATAAACATTTCGCAGTTATAATTCATTATAGAATATTTTGACATAGGCTAGAAAGAGAGCGATCGTCTTCTCGAAAGCCCCGTAAAAAGCCCACGCGAGTGAGGGAGACAACTAATCGCTCTATTAAAACTCACTTTATGACAGTAGCAGTATCGCCACAGAGTAAATTTTTATAAACGTATCGCTAAGGCAATACGAGGTCATCGGTCGACATGTGTCGAACAGTGGAGTGCTCGGGAAATTTGAAATAATTTGAAACAGTTTAGGAGTTATTTTATTAGTGTATAGTGGCGTGTAGTGGCGGTTGAGAATATCCACTACCCCATATCTTCCCGTGGGTGTCGTAAGAGGCGACAGAGGGACACAGA